ATATAAATAGAATCAATCAATCAATCAATCAATCAATCAATCAATCAATGAATAGGCTTAAGGTGTCATCAGACTCTTTGTTTTTATATATAAAAATCAATTTACAATAACCTGTTCCTTCTAGCATTTCTCTGACTTACACATCCTCTAGAAATATAATTCAAAACTTATAGAATTGAAAGCAGCCTTAGATGAGCTTTTCCCCTCTTCTTATGCATGGATTCTTTACGTTACATCTGAAAACCACGCTAACATGGACTGGCAGATAAGTGCTTTGGATTCAGTATCGGAAAGGTGTTTTGGAGTGCTTGGGAGTGCCACAAGGTCCTGAGAAAGATACAGCTCCTTTAAGATATTGCACAGGTGCTACATTCTATGTGCTCTGAAGCACCTTTTGGAGGCTAAATCCTAGGTGCTGCAGAGTTCTAATATTCATTATGTGTAGCTGTCCCTAATGAAAGGAATCCAGTGCATTATAAAGAAAAGGTATGAACTGAGAACTATTTAGTTGAATATCTCAGATGACTGGCTTTAACCATAAAACAATAGCAAAATTGTTCAATATAATGTGACAAAGAAGTTTCATTAATGCTACCCTTTCAGGATCCAAACTGAAGCAAGTGCATGTATATACTAAATACCCATAAAAGCTCTTTCACCGTTCACATAAAGACACCACATCCATGTGAACAGGGAAAAAAATGCAATAGGCAAACATTCTGCAACTTAAAAGTTGTTTTACATAAGACTGTTGAAGTGTTACTGACCAAATATTGTTAATGTGTAATAGAATAAAATTGCACATTGCCAGATCTATAAATAATTCAAGTATCCAGTACAGGTAGTCTCCAGTTTAAAAACGCGTTCTGTTCCCAAGGTCTGTCCTTAAGCTGAATTTGTATGTAAGTCGGAACAGTATTATTGTATAATACTGTATAAGTAGTATTGTGTAATTAACTCAAATCACTGTGTATATGAAGTATTAAACAGAGATATAGGGCAAGATGAGAGAATCACAGGGGTAAAAAGAGTCATATAAGTTAAGAGCTTTCACGGATGACTTGGTTTTAATTTTGGCAGACCCTTTAAAGGAAATTGAACTTCTAATGAGTAAATTAAAAGGATTTGAGGCATTAGCAGGCTTTAATAAACAGATGTTTATTAAAAAATTTGAAGTTACAAGACCAAGGAAAACTGATGAATAAAACGGGTTTCAAGATTGAGAAGGTAAAATATTTGGGTATAATTATAACAAATATGAACTGTATATTATTTCAAAATAATTATGCTAAGACATGGAATGAAGTTAAAAAAGATATGTCAAGATGGGACAAACTACAATTGTCACTGATGAGGAAAATTTCTGTGATTAAGATGGATGTTTTACCCAGAATATTATTTTTGTTTCAGACAATACCTGTTTTGACAACTGATTTAAACAATGGCAGAATTATATATCTAAATTTGTATGGTAAGTGAAAAAACCACAAGTTAAATATAAGGTACTACAAGATGCAAAGGAAAGAGAAGGATTGTGCTTACCAGATTTGAAACTATATTTTACTGCTTGCTGTTTAGTTTGGATGAAAGGGGGGGTGTTGTTAAGAAATAGAAGATTTAGAAGGTGTTGTTAAGAAATAGAAGATTTAGAATATTTGAGATTTGGGTGGCATGGATATCTATGGTATGATAAAGCTAAGGTGAATGTAGACTTTAAAAATCATTATGTTAGATGGGCTATTCTTAGTGTATGGGATAAATATAAACTCAGGTTTTGCCTGAAAAGACCTTTATGGCTTTCAGCGCAAGAGGCATTTTATAGACAAGAAATTATAAGTAAACATCTGGAGGTTGAGTCATGGCAACTGGACTTCTTTTCTTTTTTGGTTTGATATGTTTTGT